CTCATAGCCTGTTCCTTTACCTTGCCAAATCTAGCAAGAATCTGACTGCAATATGTATGCTTTTAAAGAACTAAGCAAGACTGCTTTTATTTTTCTCATTCATAAACAATCTGAACAAGTGATTAAATTGAATCAGTCTCTATAATGCAGCAATAACTAACATCCCTTTCACAGCAAGCTTAAATAAATGCTGGTGTTTATTTTGCTATTTTAAGACATTGTCAAGCCTTGCATTACTTGCAGCCACTAGTGGTTATACTAAAAGCTCTGGTGCTGAGTACCTTTGCACCTGAGAGAACAGCCACCCTCTCAGGTACATCATCACTCCCTAGAGACTGAATTGTTTATCACTACAACTCTGAATGTCCCAGCAATTACAGATACTATCTTATACTCACTGAATGTCCCAGCAATTACAGATATTATCTTATACTCAAAGTGTGAGTCTCTTTCTTTCTTTCTTACTGGCTTTATCAAATGTGGGAAGCAATTCAAACACTGTAACTGCACCAATAATTACTTCATCATTCATTTTTTAACACCTCCAAGTTTTATCAAGCAACACATATAGAGATCAAACAGTATCAGGGCTTTATTTCTTTTATGATCTATTAATTTAACATTAACTGCATTGATTATATCTAGAGCCAGGACATACACAAACCACACGATTACCATAAAGGACTGTTTCACACACCGGTACCATGGCAATACTAGGAAATAATCAAAAGCTCTTTTTTTTGGACTAACACCTATTTTCCACAAAACTACATTAAACATATTACCATTCTTTTTTTCCTCCCCCACTACTATCCACAATTCCTGCTGTTCTTTGTGGGACTTAACAACCTTGCTTGGAGATGCTGAGTCTGTGGTTCCTCAGGTGATACATTTCAATAGTTATCTGCAAATTCTACTAGTGTTTTGTATTTGAATTTTTTTTTTATTTTTAGGTTAAAACTAGAGATATTGTTAGTTCATAGACCTCCTTAGCGGTTCTAGAACTGAAAATAATCTCGCCCTGAAGATTTGTAGTAACTGAGTTTATCAGAGGTGAACATTTAATCTTACAGTGTATTCTGGAACACCTCTGTCTGAGGAGTATCAGTTTTACCAACCCCCTTTTCTTGTTCCTTACTCATCACATTAGGACAAGCACTCCAAGAATTCCACATCAATACCTTCTGGACTGCTTAGCTCCTAGCTAAGGTGTCCAATATTAACCGAGTACCAGCCTTGCATTTTCAGCACACAGCCTGCCTACCTCACCTTCGCTAGCTCATCATGCACGTGATCTCTGCTTCTCCTAAAGCAGCATGAGGGGCACAGCTTTCTCTTCCAGTACATCCAGGTGTGTGTGTGTATGACCCAAAATGCTTTCCACTTAGACAGCTGTAACTTTACTGTAATTAGCCCCATTCACTTCTGCTCCATACACAGACTAACACGGGCATCCAAGAGGACACACCAGTACTCACCTTTCCAAACAGCTCCCTTCCAAAATTTCTGATGCTTTCACTTGGTTCCCACTGAATCTTATCATTACTCCCTGATCCTACCTAGGACTTCCCTAATTTCCTTCAGCTTTCAATTGGATCTCTTACCTCTTCCTTCAAGAAGAGAAGGTGCATTTTAACCTTTGACCTTTTGATATACTTCTAAAATTATCCCAGAAATGCTGAAATACATTATCAAGACCAATCACAGTTATCACTCAACTGCCAGCCAAATATGGTTTTAACCAGCCCATGACATCTTTCACTTTTGTGAACTCTGCCACACTAAAGTCTTAGCATATAAAATAAATCTTTCACCTAAGCCAATGAGATTCTGGTCTCAAAACAGAACTTCACACTACACATTTAATTATCTTTAAAACCTACTGAATTTTCCTAATTAACACATGAAGACTATGAGAAACTTTTCTTACTCCATTTTCAAGGTGGCAATGCAAATAAGCCAAAAGGATTCTCACTGTTATCAAAACAAAGCAAATTGGAAGAGCCTGTGGCTCCCACAAAACACCAAACATCTTTACCAGCAGTGTTGTCAATGTATCTAAGTTCAGACTTTAATTTTAACATATATTTTGTATAACTTGTCACTTTTTGCCATGGGTAACCACAGCACAGCTACACATCAGCATAAGCCAGCAGTACTACGGCAAAGCATGCTCTAGGGACCAGCAACAGTGCTGCAACATCAGCACAACATTGCACCCAAAGCAACAAGCTGCTTTTCCTGAGACACACACCAGTATTTATAAAAGACAAAGGCACAAGCTGTAAACATGGTCTGACTGCGTATCAGCATGCTTATACCCACGAGGACAGGTGGGCATTGATACAGGCTGCCCAGTCCCTGCCCCTGGGGTTTTCCAAGACAGTCCAGAAAAAATCTCCAAGCAAGCTGGACCAGCCTCAGGGCTGCTGCTGTAGTGAGCAGCAGGTCAGGAGAGACCTCCTGGTGTCCGTTCCCAGCTGAATGATCTGATTTGGGTTGTGTCCACCTTTGCACCTCTGTACCGTGGTGTTTAGTGCACTGTGTACATGCCATTAGTCAGTGACATCATTATTCCATCTGCTGCAGAACTAAGTAAGGGGTCAGGATCTTCCAGATTACTAACTTTTTTCTGGACTTTGAAAACGGTCATGCCTGTTTCATGTAACTCTGGGAGTTCCGGATTCTCAAGCAGAAAGGGAATAAGACAGCCGTTCTCACTGTGCCCTCCAAAGCTCCTGCATCCAGTATCAACACGTGGGCTTTTCATAGGGCAAATATCAATTCCATCCAGGGCCATGAAAAGTGGAGGATTTTTTCACACACCCCTTCTTCCACCTGTACCCACGGGCTGCTTTATTCCTCCCTCATTCTCCTACATTGGCATAAACCTGACATAAGCTGTAACTGCTCCATGAAACACACGCAAGAACACTCGCACAACTTTACATTTCTCCTTTATTGGGTGTGAGACTGTCCCCCGCTCCCGTTAGCTGTGACGCTGAGCACCCTGCGCGGGCACGGATGCCGAATGTGGGGTTCAGCGGCGCTCCAGCCGCAGTGCCGCGCTCCCGCAGGCGCTCCAGGCATTGCGCTGCCACAGCGAGCTCCACCAAACCCTTCAGGCCGACCTTATTTCCCGGTCTGAAAACACAGACCCTAGGGCCACCCGGTGTGCCGTCAGCACCAACACGAACCGGCTTTCTGGGACACCGCCAAGGGAGAACCAAGGCCACGA